TTTAATGTGATTTATGGGCGTCGGATGTGCTGATTAGGTGCATTGTGTTACAGCTGGATAAAGCCAGACTGGCCTATGCTAAGCAAAGCTAACCCTGTTCAGATAGGCAATTGCTCTTCTCATCCAAACTTGCTGGACACTCCATAAGACGGCGAGCGCATTTCCCAAAAATGTTTCCTTTTAAGTGCATGCACAGCTGGTAGGGGGGTTATATCATCACAAAGATCTGTATAGACTGAAGTTGTACCAAAATCTGAGCCAGCTCATCATCGACGGGCTGCGGTATGAAGTGATTTAAAGCTGCAGGACAAATGCTAAACAATTCATTAATTATCTCATCTGCAAAGTTGTCTGCCTTCCTTCAACCACCCTTTGTTTTACATTCCTAACTGTAGGGATATTAAGTTATCGCCAAAGAAACGATCGTCCTGTGCAACTTTTCTGCCTGTTTTTTTTTTTTTTCTTCTTTTCCTCTGCCTGTAAAGAATTCCCACTGGGATAAATCAAACAATTCACATTCTTTTTTTTCAATCCTTTATTTGTTTCCTTACTGTATATACATATATGTAGGTATATAATTTGTGCTCACATAGGGCATTTTGTATGTGATATTCATATTAGGCCTAATGGAGGTTAAAACATAAAGTTCATTAATTTCTTCCAGTAAACCCTTTGTCCATCTTCTCAAAAACCTTTCTGAGACAACTGTAAACTCAAGTGCCTTTTTCTCTTTTCCCACTGATTTATCAAAGTCCCCTCCACCAGAGTATGGACCAAAGACATCAACCGTCCCCAACTGCCCAGCCCTCTTTCTCCCTCTCTCACTGAATGGCACACTTTCCATTTACTACAAATAAACAGTTTGCAATACTGAGTGTGTATGCTTGGTTTTTGTTTATTTTTTTTATTTATAGAGTTGCATTATAGAGTTTTCCATTACTCTGTCTAAGCAGACCAGGACCTTGTGGCTTAGATTTCATGACTTCATAAGAAAAAGGAAAAACCATACCCAAGGATATCATGGTGTACATCTAACACCCTTCACATGCTACAAGCTGTTAATCCCTTAAATATGTACCATTAAATCTACAAGAGTGACAAAAGTTGAAGAATAATGTTCCCTACTCCTTTGTTGGTAAGTATGGACAGAACGGATGGCAAACAGATAAATGACATCTCCATGCAGTACCAGAAACATCAGGTAGAGGGAACCGTTACATTCAGAATAAATAGACATGATTTGGGAAGGTTTGAGAGTCATTGTGTGATAACTGAGAGCCGTGAACTGAGTATCCTGAGCTGATATCTGAAGGGCACTTATGCCGAATTAGTGAGAGGGTAACTTAAAGAGAGAGTTTTAAAAAGCTGCACGTCTTTTGGCTTCCTTCAATGTTATTCACTTTCTCCTCTTGCCTTAGCAGTGCAGGTTTTTCTCCTTCAATTTCATCAACACTTTTTCTGCAGTAAAGGTATTTCCTTATCTACAAAAATTGGGGTTAAAGGTATGAAGATTGTGTTGCGAGACCACATGGCTGGTTCCAAATTATTCAGATTTCCTGTGTGATATACTAAAGATTATTTTTTTAAACAAGTCAAAGGTTTCCACGCAAATGTAAGTGAAATAAAAATATTGTAGTAGTGAATGAGACATGCAGTAGCAACGATAGCATAATGCCAGAAATGGT